TTAATATTTTGTAATAATTTATTCTGTTTTGGGAGTGTTTTTTATGTGTCTGTATTATATTACACACACACTTTAAAAGTGAATCTCTGTCCAAAAAATGCTCTCAGTTTACTTCTTACTCACTGTGAGCATCATTCATTATTCTCCCAGTAATTAAGGTCAGGATATGTATTTATTTTATTCCAATCCATTCTTCTTTTGCAGCATTTAAATAACCTTGATCAGATTTGATGGTTTTGTTACAGACTTTTCAAAAAAGTGTTTTGCTTTTCTTTCACAAATGTGGGATTAAATTGTTAAAATGCACAAAACAGTGATGTCATGTTTTGTGACGAGGACCCAGGCACAGAGAGACTTGATGAATTTAAGAATCTTATGATTTAACAAAGAAATTTGCAGACTTGCACTGAGAGGGTAAAATTATGATGACTGATAACGGAGATGAAGACAACAGACGATGAGGACAAGGAGGAACAGGGGCTTAAATGCACCAAGGAGACAGTCAGAGGGAACTCGGGACAACATTTAAGGATGCAGGGACTGACAGAGACGGGTTTATCTTGCCTGGCTGGGCAGCTCTCTGGGTGCTCAGCACCCCCAAAGCTCTGATCCTAGAGTCGCCCCTGGTCTGAGGTCTGCTGTGAGTCGGTGTTTCTCTTTCCTTCACACATCTGCTTGCACTGTCTCATAAATGTAATATTTGCTGTGCTGAGGTTTTGTTTCTCGTCTTTATCTGTGAGTGAAACCAGAGAAAAGTCTGAAAAATAAAAGCAGCGAGCGCTCTTATTTTGAAGGGCGGGTGTTGTCGCCCTCTGTCGGCGCCGAGTGGAAGCGCCGCCCCTCCTCCTCCTCCTCCCGTTTCTATTCCCGGACAGACCGCCTCCATTTTAGCACCGACAGCCGGCGGAGCAGCAGCGGCTGTCAGCGGACCGTGAGGCCAGCGGAGAGGCGCGCTGCTGCGGTGGGACTGTGGCTGTGACCCGGCGAGAGGAGCCGCTCCTTCGGCTGCTTTGAGCTGTTTGCGGGATGAAGGCTCGGCGGAGGGCCGGAGCGGCGGATCTGTGAGGATTTAACGGCTGTGCTGCTTCCTGCGGAGAAATCTACCCTGAGAGGAGCGGAGAGGAGGAGCAGGAGGAGGAGGCCGAGCTGCAGGTACCGGCTTTGTTCTAATCGGGATAATTGATCATGAGGCGGCTTTGTTTGATGTGCTGGGCGGCTCGCGCAGGCCGCTGCTGCCCGGACAGCATCCATCCGGCTCGGTGTCTGGGGGTGGGGTGGGTGGTGCTGGTGGAGGAGGTGGAGGTGGTTATATAACGTGTGCGCAGAGGACGCCAGGCGTCGGTCCCGGTGGGGCCCTGGCAGAGCTCAGAGCCTGGTTTCGGGCTTTGTGTCCGGGAGCTGCGGGGCTCTGAGGCCGGACTGCAGGTGCACCTGGCCCGCCGCTCCATCCGGGCCGCAAACCGGAGACAAACGAGGTCAGAGAGCCGCAGTCCGCCGGAGGAGCTGCTGCCAACGGCCCGATATCCACCAATCAATAAATGTGGTAATCGATCAGCCTCCGGACGATCGGGCAGGCCCGGCTCTTTGTGCTGATCGGGAGGAGGATGATGGGCCGCTCGATGAGGAAGCTGCGGGGGCATCTCTTCCAGAATTTTCTCCCATTTTATGAAAGCAGAGAGGAGCTTGAACACAGCCTGCAGAGGTTTGATGAAGTGCTGAGAGCACCTCCTCCTGCTCCTCCTGCTCCTCACAGTCAAACACAAATAATAAAACCCCCAGTTTGGTCTGAACCTTCAGACCTGAGTGTTACTGTAGTGTTGATGTGGTAATACTTCAGCCTTCAGTGTTGGCCGTGCAGATGTTCCAGGTGTTCTTCAGACTGACCGGAAGAATAAACCCCTCTCCTTGTTTCTTCCCGAGGAGAGTGATGGGGAGTTGGTGAGGTTTCAGGAAACATGCGCGTTTGAGCAGCTCAGGAACAAGTGGCGGTGAAACCAAAGTTCCAGAAACACGTGTGTTTGTGGTTCATCAGACTGGAGCAGCCGGGTCTTGGCGAGCTGACTACGTGGACCCCTCCACAGTCCTCCTGCTGAGGCACGGAGGTCAGGGGAGGAACATAAACTAGACTAACGACGAGTCTGAAACTCAGAAACACTCAGATACGACGTTCAATCTGAGAAAGGTTAACTTAAAAGATCAAAAAGGCATTTTAATCACATCCTGCAGTAACGATGCTGTGTTACCAACATCACACGTTAGACTGATGAATGCTGACTTATGAATGATGCGCGCTAAAATAACTAAACAATAAATCATCCAGTTATTTCCTCCTGCTGGTCTGAAGTCAGCAGTGAGCCCGGACCTCCCTGTCGCCTCCTCCAGCCCAGTCAGGACCCCTCACCCAGGAGGCGGCAGCCTTAGCCGTCTCCTTCCGATGTGGAGGAGCAGCGGCTCTGCTCCGAGCACCTCCATAAGGACTCCTCGGCCTATCGCTAAGGAGGAGCTCGTCCTTTGTTCAAAGAAAGCTCATTTCCACCACTTGTACCTGCGATCTCGTTCTAATCAGGACTAGATTACAGATTTATGGCGCTTCTCAACAATGATGCGCCACCTGGTGGCAGATGGCTGCGTAGCATCTACGACAATAATTTACCGTCTTTGGGGATCGATTAAAATGTTACCGATGAGATTAAACGACCAGTGAGTCTGGGACCGAGCAGTGACAGCGACAAGTAGGCGCGTCCCTAATGGAGACGATGCTGCAGCGTTCAGACTCCACAAACTTTGGAGGAGCAGGAGGAGGAGGTGTTTGTTGCTCAGTTGCAGCTGTGAGGCATTCAGGCGTCCTCAGAAACTGTGTTTAATGTTTTGGCGTACGTGTGCAGAAAGTGAAGGTCACACTTCACAGGCTGTTAGCAGGTTACCGTGGAAACATCACCTGTCTGCTCTGCTGCATGTTTTTTTTTTTCACCTGCTCTTATTGTGAAGGGTCAGGCAGAACAGGGGAGGAGCACACAGGTGTCACGGGCTGCTGTGCGCTCAGCTTGCAGCTGATTGGTTCCCAGGTCGGGCGCTCTGCTGGTGGCCGTTGATGTTGTCGACAGGTCCGATGGGCCTCGCCGTGATGTCACACAGGGGTCCGAGGGCTCTGCGGCAGCCTGATACCTCCAGGTTCACCGTGCTCACTTTTATCATTTGCCCAGAAAAACATCTGCTTCCAGACGCCGTCACATGATCAGTGGGGCCGCTTGTTTTGCTGCGTGGACGACCTCCCGACAGACGACACCAGTGCAGGATCTCTGAGAGCGCAACACTTCCTGTCAGCCTCTGAACCATAGGAGCTTAATCTGAACCACGCACGTGCTCAGCTGTTATCTGAGGGCCGCAGACGCCGGCGAGTTCTGATCTCGCCCTGATAGACGAGTCACAGGCCGTGAGGTGGGGGTCACAGGGCGTTCCTCTGAAGTCTCAGCTGCAGGAAGCTCTCAGTGACCTGCAGTTCCTCTGACGTCCAGCAGAGGCAGCAGTGAGTTCGTCCTCATAGACTCCATGTTAAAATAAACACGTTTACATCCTGATACTCAAGCTGTTTAAATGATGTTAAAGCTTGCTCTGTCAGGGGCGGGGCCTCTGCCTGACAGGTGGATGGTGACACAGGTGGCTGTAGCTGCCGGAGTATGTTAATGACATCATCTGACCAATAATATGGCTTCCATTTAATTCTGATTTTAATTGGATGGGGTGGGCGGGGATCATGGCTGCCACAAGTCTACAAGCTAGCGGGTGACATCACAATGTTGTGCAGTCTGTGGGATACTCACAGCCGTCTGTGGGCCTCGCCAGGACGTGGCGGCTGTTTTACGGCCCGGCGGGATGGTCGGGTGGATGTTGTTGAGTTGGAGAGAAGCAGGATTATGCCTAAGCACACTGGAATGAGAGGGAATAATTCATGAATGGTAAGCATCACGTCAGGGAAAACGTGTCACTTCCTGCCTGTGGACAGTTTGAAGAAAGGACGTGGTCAAAAATCAGCTGACTGATATTTCCTGTCCAGGCCTGACTTCCTGTTTAAAGACAGAGGCCGTGACCCACTCGGACCTGTTACTGTGATCCGGGTAAAACCAGAGCTGCCCGCCAGTCTGAGGCGCCTTTGGAGAACCAGACCGCCGTGTGCTTCGGTAACGTGTGGCTCCAACTCTGCGGCGCCTCACGGGAATGTCTGCTCGCTGACGTCGTCACACACCTGTCTGCAGGTGAAAATCGTACCGTCGCTGTTAAAACTGCAGCGCCTCCTCAGAGGTCGGGTCCTCTTTAGAATAGAATAGAAGTATCCTATATTGTCAATGAGTGGGAGCACAGTGACGGGCAGGTGGAGCGGGCAGGTGGAGCGGGCAGGTGGAGTGGGCAGGTGGAGCGGGCAGGTTCACACAGAAATAAAGAATAAACATGAGAGACTGTAGGGCGTTTCGATGTAACGATATAAAAACATCTATCGTTTGTTTCGTGGTGTCGCAAAATAAACTGTTTGCGGTAATATTTTTCATGTTCTGATGTCCCTGTAGTTATTATTCATTTCTTAAAGTTCTCTCTTTCTCTTAGATTTAATATAAACACTACGGACGCACAAGCGCCTGTTTTTATGCGTCGTCGTTAGCAACAACGATGATAAGACCATCGCGTGTCCGCTTGTTTATTTTCCACATAAACCTTTCACAATAAAGCTCAAGATCCTGTTGAGACTTTTCAAAATAAACCGAATCACATGAAAGATGCAGAGTGTTTACAGATGAGAAGTAAAAAAGAGCCGCCAGGTGCTCTAAAATAAACCGTAGACTCAAACGTTAGAACAGGCTTTTCCCCGCAGCACGCCGTGTGATAAATACTCACAAAGAAACGGCGCCGTTACAACTTATGTCTAAAAATGTATCGTTTCATGCATCGTTAAAACACTCGACTCCAGGAATTTACAGAAAATGTTAAATTTTTGTGATTTATATCGTTATCACCTGAGCGTGTCACCTGAAGGTGAGATGTTTCTTTCCTTTCTCCATTGTGGAGACGTCTGCAGCTACATGTCTGCTCCTGTGGCTCTGTGAGGGGAAATGAGGGTGGACAGAATAACATGAACAGGAACGCTCTCTCAGAGTGTGTGTGAAGCTGATGCTGGAGGTCAGTGTGTGTCTGCACCTCCAAACCTGCCGCACATCCTTCATCATCGTCAGCCTGAGCTCACACGAGTGGACCATCACAGCTTCAATGACACAGAATTCCTTTGTGTTATTGAAGCTATGATGCAGCCCATAATATTCGTGCTCTCCTTGTTTTTGTAGCTCTGTAAAAAAAGCATCAGAGCACGCCTGGTGCACCTGAGGGTGAAATGTGAGCGCGAGGACGCCGTCAGACTGAAACTAAACAGGAGACAGAACGTGACAGCGCACCTGTGAGGATAGAAAACCAACGTGTGTGTGTGTGTGTGTGTGAGAGACCAGAGTCGACCCCCCCACACACACACACAGCTGGAGGAGGATGGTGGGGGGACAGACCCACAGGATTGGCTGTAATCAGGTCTGATGCAGGAGCTGTTTTACCCCGGCGGGTGGAGGCAGAGGTGGTGTTTTTGGGTGGATGTCTTCTGCACTGCAGCTCTGATGGAGGCTTCAGATGAGTCATGCTGCTGCTGCATCACCATGGCAACAGAGAGGAGGGAGGGAAGGAGGGGGGTCTCTGAGTGACGCTGCACCGGAGGAATTTTCCAGATCAGACCGTCACCGCACGCGCTCAGAGCAGCAGCAGAGCCAGCGCCTCCTGCAGGCTGCAGATGTCACTGCAGGTTCTGGATCTGATCCAAGCCGGAGCGGAGGGTCTCAGGGAAAACTCGGAAACTCGTCCTGGAAGCAGAGTGTGCACTAAAAACACATTCACAGCCAATCACAGCTGATCACGCTGCAGACACATCCGTGCGTGCTCAGCTCTTCAGACTGAAGCGGCGTGCGTTACTCAGGCTGGGAGCGCAGCAGTGTGGAGCGTTTTACTGCCTTTAACGTGTTGTTGTTCTACGCCCGTCTTTGGGGTTGTAAACGTCAGGCGCGGTGGACAGGAAGTTGGAAAGCTCTGGAAAAGATGCCGTGTGATTGGTTCAGTTTATTTCAGAACCTTCTGGATGAATTGTCATGAAAATGTTCTCAGAGGTGCACTTTTAGGGCGGGGACTCGATTTTAAGTCTTTCTCCTGGAAAGTCGACTCAGAGTTCCTCCTGTTTGTCTTTTCTGAGGACTTCCTGTTACATCCTGTTCGGGAGCATCAGGAGCCGCTGAGGGGGAAAGCTGCTCTGACTCATCAGGTGCTCTCATGTGTGCGTGAAGCACGTTCAGATTCCCGGTTCAGTGGCACTAACTCGTCTGCTTTTACTTCACTTTGACCTGAGGTCGCCCGGTCAGACCCGGCTTCCTCTGACCCAGGTCACCTGACAGGAAGAGCTTTTATTGTCGACACCCCGCCCCTGGGTCAGCCCTGGCCTGGGTCTGAGTGAGGGGTACCGGATGAAACGAGTTTCAGTCCTGTCCGAGGACCTCGACGCGTCTCTGCTGGAGCTCGCTGTTTGTAATGGGGCCTCTGATTGGATGTGACTCGTCCCGCCCCTCACAGCAGACCGTTTCCAGGTCAGCAGTGAAATCACGCTGGCCCGCCTTTGTTTCCCAGCTCTGTGATGTAACTGTGACATCATCAGCGACAGCGCCCTCATTGAGCCGTAAAATCTAGGCCAGGACTGCAGTCAAGGTAACCATAGCAACGGGATCAGTAGGCTAAGCTGTGACGCTGCTGGGGCATGCTGGGAAATGTAGTGAGCTCTGCCAGCTTCTCTCGTCAGTGTGCTGAAGGTAATGATGAGTAAATACGAGTGGGTGTGTGTGAGCGACACACACCTGCGGTCACCTGCAGCATCACTTCTTGATTTTTCTGGCTGAAATGTTTTTTGCTCCCAGTGTCTGACTCTGCTCCAACAGCTGTAATGTGTGAAGGAGGACACCGAGCCGTGTCACTTCCTCCGTTTGAAGCTTTAATGAGTTTAAACGTGTGTGTGTGTGTGTGTGTGTGTATGTATTCAGCCCGTTGAACCACTGCTGCTGATCTCATCGGGACACGGTAACAGAGCAGATTTCCGATCTCGGGCCGTCGCTGGCTCAGTGACATAACTGTGATCAGCAGAGACTCGTGTGAACCTTTCACAGAAACGTTTGTGCACGTGTGGAAGCGAGGCCCGACGGATAAAAGCTTAAAATCCCATTAGCTGGTCCAGGATCAGTGCAGGTGAAGTGACGGAGGAGGACTCCATCATGAGGTCGGCCTGCAGAGAGCTCCTGATACTTTAACCTTCTGTGGTCACGGTAACAACCAAACTACTGTAAATAATACAAATTATAACAGACAGCTCGTTATAAAAGTCCGAGTACATCACACACACGAAATATCAAACAGGCTGTAACCGCTGCACCGTGTGCTGTGCATCGAGTGGAGGCGTACAGGCAGGAAGGGCTTCCTGTGTCGTTCAGAGGTGCATTATGGGTAATGTCTGTGACTGGCCAGCACCTCACGGAGTGGGGGTGAGGTGTTGTCCACCATTGTACTTATCTTGGACAACATCCGCCTCTCTGACACCACCCTAAGGGTTTCCAGCTCCACCCCCACAACATTACTGAGCTTGTGATCAGTCTGAGTCGTTGCATCACGTGACATCACGGGTACTCTGACTCATCCAACCACCACAGAGTGACCCGAAAACCTCTGAAGATGGAGGTCTGTGTGCAGAGGGTGCCGAGGAAGGGGAGAGGGCGGTCCTCTGGTGGTGGCGTGAGGCGGTCCTCTGAAAGCTGAATGAATAAAATCCCACCGAGTTTACCAGAGGTCAGATTTGTTTACCGTGTGTTAAAACAGCTGTTAGATCTGACGGTCCGTACTGAGCATGCTCGCATGCAGGTCAACCGTCTCATCTCAGGCGGTCATGTGGCTCCTCCTCCCTCATGAGAGCAAGCGTTTCACATCTCTTCTCTTTTCTCCCCCAGGTTCTCTGCGAGGATGTGGCAGTGAGCATGCTCAGAGCCCTGATCGTTACCATGGCGATTACCAGCAGCCACGCGTGCAGCGGTCAGGAGAACTGCTCGGCCGATGGCGACGGCGAGTACAAAGACTACTGTTACTCGGCCCGCATCCGCAGCACCGTGCTGCAGGGGCTGCCCTTCGGCGGCGTGCCCACCGTGCTCGCCCTCGACTTCATGTGCTTCCTGGTGAGTTGCCGCCGCAGACACGGAGGATAAACACGCCTCCCTTTTTGTCCTCGCATCACTGGCGTTAGGCGTGAACACACACGCTCACACGTGACAGAACACTGTCATCCAAAGTGTGTGAACATCACAGATCAGCTGGAGGGCTTCCTGACATGGTGGTGTCAGTGACCTTTGAACTCTAACTGAGAGCAGCATGCAGGATTTTTCCGTTAGAAGTCTGATGTTCAAGGTTCAAGGTCCTTTATTTGTCACATGCATAGTTATACAAGTATAACACACAGTGAAATGTAGCCTGACACGCTCCTCGACATGTGCAAAAAAACTGGGGGGGGTGTAGAGGAAAAACATTATATATGTATATATACATACATACATACATACATACATTGGGTGAATGTGCAGTAGTAGCAGCAAGCAGGTGAATTCTGTACATTAATATGAATAGACATCTGACTATTTTACAGGATAGACAATATAAACATATTTAAAATTAAAGGAATTGAAATGTACATTGTGCCTTGGTTTAGTGTCTGGAAGAGTCCTGTCTCAGTCAATTATAGATGATGTGAGAGGGCGGGTGTGTGTGTTTAGGGCACGGATGGCTTGGGGATAGAAGCTCCTCTTGAGTCTCTCTGTCCTTGCCCAGAAGATGCGGAACCTTCTACCAGATTGCAGAAGTTGGAACAGTTTGTTGCCAGGATGGGACGGGTCCTTCAGTATCTGCTCTAGTCCGGCATCTCCTGGTGTAGGTGTCCTGAAGCAGGGGGAGAGCAATCCTGCAGCAGCGTTCTGCTGTACGGATCACTCTCTGGAGAGCTTTTTGGTCCTTCACACAGCTGTTCCCCAACCACGATGTCATGTTCTGTGTGAGGATGCTCTCCACAGCGCCTGTATAGAAAATCCTGAGGATCTTTGGAGAGACCCTGAACTTCCTCAGTTGTCGTAGGTGATACAGGCGCTGCCTAGCCTTTTTGGTCTGGACCTGAATGTGGGCAGCCCATGTCAGGTCTGAGGAGATGTGGACACCAAGATACTTGAAGGACTGCACCCTCTCCACTGGAGCTCCATTGATGATGATGGGCTTGTAGTCTCTGTGCTGACCCCTTCTGAAGTCCGCCACCAGCTCCTTGGTCTTGCTGACGTTCAGCTGGAGGTGGTTGTCCTGGCACCACGATGCCAGATTCTTCACTTCATCCATGTAGGCCGCCTCATCGTTGTTGGAGATGGCACCCAACACCACTGTGTCGTCAGCAAACTTCACAATGGTGTTGGAGCCATGGGTGGCCACACAGTCTGAAGTGTAGAGGGAGTAGAGCAGTGGCGAGAGGACACATCCCTGAGGTGCTCCTGTGTTGATGGTGATGCTGTTGGAGAAGCACCTGCCCACCCTCACCACCTGAGTTCTGCCAGTGAGGAAGTCCAACACCCATGCACACAGACGGCTGTTAAGTCCCAGATCCCTCAGCTTTGTGAACAGTCTGCAGGGCACTATTGTGTTAAACGCTGAACTGTAATCAACAAACAGCATTCGCACATAGTTACCCTGTTTCTTGTCCACGTGGCTGAGAGTGGTGTGTAGGACGTGGGCGATGGCATCCTCTGTGGATCTGTTGGATCTGTAGGCGAACTGCAGCGGATCTGTGGTGTCTGGGATGGGGGAGGAGATGATGTTCTTCAGCAGCCTCTCAAACACCTTCATTACTACCGAGGTCAGTGCAACTGGCCGGTAATCGTTCAGGGATGAGGGTTTGCTGTTCTTGGGCACAGGGATGATGGTGGATCTTTTGAAGCATGTGGGGACCACAGACTTCGCCAGGGACTCGTTGAAGATGTAAGTGAACACACCTGCTAGCTGGTCAGCACAGCAGCGCAGCAGACGGCCGGTGATGCCGTCTGGCCCCGCCGCTTTCCTTGTGTTCACTGATGTGAAATTTCTGCTTTTTTTTCCCCCGGAAATTTCGTGGCTCAAGAGTTGGGACTTCGTCTTGTAATCGGAAGGTTGCCGGTTCGAGCCCCGGCTCCGACAGTCTCGGTCGTTGTGTCCTTGGGAAAGACACTTCACCCGTTGCCTACTGGTGGTGGTCAGAGGGCCCGGTGGCGCCAGTGTCCAGCAGCCCCGCCTCTGTCAGTGCGCCCCAGGGCGGCTGTGGCTACAATCAGAATCAGAATCAGAATCCTTTATTGATCCCTGGGGGAAATTATTTTTTGTTACAGTGCTCCATTTTAAACCAACATTAAGACAAGACAGACAATATGCTAACTAAGAATAGTACAATATATACATATATATACATACATACATACATAAGTCACTTATAAATAAATATTTGGAAAAGAAACATGTGTAGTTGTAGCAGCAAACAGTGTGTTAAGTGGATGCGTTGTACAGGGAGATGGCCACAGGCAGGAATGATGTCCTGTGTCGTTCAGTGGTGCATCATGGGTAATCTCAGTCTCTCACTGAACGAGCTCCTGTGACTGACCAGCATGTCATGGAGTGGGTGGGAGGTGTTATCCAAATTGTCTTTATCTTGGACAGCATCCGCCTCTCCGACACCACCTTGAGGGAGTCCAGCTCCATCCCCACAACATTGCTGGCCTTACGGATCCGTTTATTAAGTCTGTTGGCATCTGCGACCCTCAGCCTGCTCCCCCAGCATGCAACAGCATAGAGGATCGCACTGGCCACCACAGACTCATAGAAAATCCTCAGCATTTTCTGGCAGATGTTGAAGGACCTCAGTCGCCTCAAAAAATAGAGACGACTCTGGCCCTTCCTGTAAAGTGCTGTGGTGTTTTTAGCCCAGTCCAGTTTATTGTCAATGTGTACTCCAAGGTATTTATAGTCCTCCACAATGTCAACACTGACCCCCTGGATTGAAACAGGGGTCAAGTGTTTCCTGGTCTTCCTGAAGTCCACGATCAGTTCCTTGGTCTTTGCCACGTTGAGCTGCAGATGATTCTGCTCACACCACGTGACAAAGGAATCGACCACAGCCCGGTACTCTGTCTCATCATCCCTGCTGATGCATCCAACCACCGCAGAGTCATCAGAAGACTCATGTGAAGAGAGAGGCTGGCACAGTGGTGTGGCTCTGGATTCCAGGCTGACTGCAGGTGAGGTTGTGGGGGTGGGAGCAGACACTGTGGTGTCGAATCTATTGAAAAACAGATTCAACTCGTCGGCTCTATTCTCACCTCCCTCAGCTCCCCTGCTGTTGGTTGGCCTGAATCCAGTGATGGTCTTCATGCCCCTCCACACCTCTCTCATGCTGTTCTGCTGGAGTTTCCACTCCAGCTTCCTCCTGTAATTGTCCTTAGCCTCTCTGATCTTGTCCTTTAGTAACACCTGGATCTTCCTCACCTCCTCTTTGTTGCCCCCTCTGAAAGCCCTCTTCTTGTTGTTGAGGAGGGCTTTGATGTCCTTAGTCACCCACGGCTTGTTATTTGGGTAACAATGAACAGTCTGAGCTGGAACAATGGAGTCGGTGCAGAAAGTTATGTAGTCTGTGATACACTCAGTAAGCCCATTGATGTCCTCGGCGTGAGGCTCACAGAGTGTTTCCCAGTCGGTCACCTCGAAACAGCCCTGTAGTTCTGCTAAGGCCTCCTCTGACCACCTCCTAACAGTCCTGGTGGTCACAGGTTCCCTCCTCACAATTGGCACATAGCGGGGGGTGAGGTGAATCAGGTTATGATCTGACCTACCAAGGGGGGGGAGGGAGGAGGAGCTGTATGCATCCTTGACGTTAGCATACAGTAGGTCTAAAGTTTTCTCTCCCCTGGTGGGACAGTCCACATATTGTTTGAATGTTGGTGTATTGTCCAGTGATACATGGTTGAAGTCACCCGAGATCACAATAAAGGCACTCGGGTGCTGAGTCTGTAGCCGAGCTATGGCAGAGTGGATAATGTAGCTGCCATCACCAGTGTGTGAATGTGTGGATGTGGTATAAAGTGTTTTGGGGTCCTTAGGGACTAAGTAAAGCGCTATACAAATACAGGCCATTTACCATTTTTCCTTCCTCTTCCTCCTCAGGTGCTCCTCTTCGTCTTTTCCATTTTACGGAAGGTTGCGTGGGATTATGGCCGCCTGGCGCTGGTCACCGACGCTGACAGGTAAATGAAGGTTAATCAGTCTGTAAACGTTCTTCATCACAGAGCTGGACCACAGCTTCACGGGCTTAATCCGTCACACGGGGTGCCGGAGACGTCCAGGAAGCTGAGTCTTTTTTTTGTGTGACGAATAAACATGTGCAGGCCTGAGGTGAGACAGGAAGAATTGGAAGCTGAGAGATGGATCGTTCTGATGTGTGAACCAAAGACAGTTTAGAATCTGTCTGTTTTTAGGTTTCCTACATTGAAATCAGTGAGCTGTTATATTAACCCGAGAATCAGTGAAGCTCTGCAGACAGGAGGCGCTCACACACAGTTTGGCTGCTTTAAAGCCACATTTGAATATGAATGTTGGGTCTGCGCTTCCACAGGACCCGCTGGTTTAGAAACGTATTCTCGTTAACGACAAAAACAAGACGAACATCTTTTACTTGCTGCAAGGGAGGCCCCGGCCAGTGTCTCAGGAAGCACTCTGAATCCAGACTGACCCCAAATCCGGCCTCCGCTTGCTGCCTTTTATTGGGAAAACAGTTTACACAATACACATCACAGCAAAAGCACCTCCCACCGTAAACCCCCAGATGGTTCTAAGACAAGGCACTCTGTGTGTGTGTGTGTGTGTGTGTGTGTGTGTGTGTGTGTGTGTGTGTGTGTGTGTGTAAACATCTGTATGCATGTGCAAGAACGTGCGTGTGTGTGTGTGTAAACATCTGTATGCATGTGCAAGAACGTGTGTGTGTGCGTGCGTGCCTGACTTCCAACTGTTTCTAACAACATCCTTAGTCACAAAATGGTAATCTCCCCCACACCCAATATATGGTTCACTTCCTGTATTGGTTCACCGTGCACGACACAGTGAAGCCACAGAAGGGCAGGAAGCCGACCACACAAGAAACAGATCTGTCAGATAGGATGCATCTGCAGTAAAACCTCCCCCTGAGTGGCTGGAGAGGTGGTCGGAGACAAAGGAATGTCTTGATCCTATAGATTTGCACTCAGACTTACAAATTTAAGAAACACAATGACACATTTAACAATTTGACTTAACAATGAACAAGTAAAAACACGGTTCAAGTAACATGTCTACCCCCAACAAACACCGACAGTATTAAAGATGGACGTAGCCTCCAAGATCTGACAGGTGAAGCCTCCTTAAATCTGCGTTCTCACTAATATCCAGCAGGTGGCGACGCTGGTTGGGGAAAAAGTCTGACTATATAGAAGAAACTGAGCCTCCGACTCAGCGGGACTCTTCCTTGATTGGTTGACTCGATGCTCATTGGTTAACAGCGTGTTTTAGCAGTAAGATTAGGCGGCATTAGCAGAAAGCTTCAGCCCGAGGCTTCGCAGTGACATCATGGCGGCTGCGTCTATCTTTGAGCGTCCATGTGTAAACGCGGTGGTGGGCGTGATGCGCTCCTGCTGTGTGACCTGATCAGGGTTGTTTCCCTCTCACTGGCATCACCTCCTTGTTATTTTCTGTTTCCTCTCCCGAAGACTGAAGAAGCGTTTCAGCGACCTGGAGGAGCGGGAATAGTATGTTGTTGTTGCTTCCTCCCTGTTTGGTTTGTCTGCTAACCTCCTCTGGTTTGATTAACGGGCTCTCTGGTTGGTGCACTAACACCTCTTTTCTGCATTTCAGTCTGTGCTTGTTTGGGTTTCTGTATGGAAGGTTATTAGTGCCAACAGACTGCACAGATCTATCCGCAGCAGCCTGCTCGCTACATTTAAGCGTTTAATTATAAAAACATAACATTTGAACTGCTTGGCACTTGGTTGAACTGCAACACTTTAATCCTCCTGTTGTGTTTGTGTTTGTTTGGCTCAAAGTGGGCTTCCTATTTAGGCAAAATGGTTCATTGCCATGCGCCATATTATTAAGAAGAGATGGATCAGATTTCTCCCACGGGGCACATTGAACTGTGTCAGTGAGGCACTAATCGCCCTCCGCAGCACATGAACACTGTGTTTTTACAGCATTGAAATGGCTAATTATGCTACCTGCTGTGATGCTAACACCACTCCACGCTTCTCTCCATGTTTGTGTCAAACTCAGCCGAAGGCGCGACAGAGATAACTATGAGCCGGTGAAAAGGTAACGGCTACCCGCGTATGTGGACCCCTGTGACGTGCTAGCTAGATGACTCAGTAGCCCAACGTGCCGTAGCCACGCCCACGCTCAGAGTCGGCAGCTAAAACGATAATAACTGAAGACGTAAGAGCAAACGTAGTCGACGTTAAAGATGTCAGCACTACAGAACAGCCGATCATTATTGGGGTCACTGGTTGCCATGGTGATTCCCACCTTTGTGTAAACGTGGTGGTCCTGCAGTTCTGGACCCCGACTCTCTGAAGTTCTTGTGTGTTGTGATGTCAGCTGTTCTCCGTTTGGCTCTTAGTTTCGTGTTGTTGTCGTGTTCGAGTGCGTTAGTTCCCTCACATTCCTCCTGTGTGTTTCCCCGTGTCAGGTTTTTGTGTCTGACGTTCCCGAGTTATTGTCGCTTAGTTCCTGTTTTACTTTGTTAGTTGTCCCTGTTCTGTATTCAGTTTTACTTCCTGTCCTAGTATAAATGGCGCCGTCATCCTCTGTGCGTTTCCTTCTGTCGGCTGGATTTTTGTAACGCCGTTTACAGACTTCAGATCGCTGAACTTTCCCCCCGACTCTGCTGTTTAGTCCTTAACCTGCAAACTGTGACAGTGGAGGCAGAAACACGTAGAAACCGTTAAAGACGTGAGGTAGCAGGTCCGGTGGATCAAGTCTGGTTCCTGAGCGGTTTGAAGCTTGAAGTTCCTGCTGTACCGACCGCCACAGAGCTATTGTTGGATAGACGTGACTCAGATCTTTATTTGCGTTTCCAGCTGAGCCGACGGTTTGGCTCTAAGCCGTTTCTCCCAAATCCGTCAATTTGAACCCAGTGAAGGGTCGCCGCGATCGAGCGAGCGGGGTCGCCACCACAGCGGGGTCGCTGCTCAGTCGAGCGCGCGGGGTCACTGCGATCGAGCGAGCGGGGTCGCCGCGGGCGTGCCGATCCAGGTGAACCGTCGTCTGTGTTTAGTGTCTCGAAACTCATTTTCAAAGGAACTCTGGAGTCTTACCAGCTGTCACACACAGAGGTCAAAGGTCAGAGGGCCCCATACTAACATTCCTGTTTGTGTCCACAGTGTTGCCTCGGCGATGCACTCGGAGACGCCCGACCGCTATGAACGCCTCACCTCGGTTTCCAGCTCTGTTGACTTCGACCAGAGAGACAACGTAAGAACACCTTCATCACTCCCTCCTCTTCCTGCTCCGCCACAGTTAGCCGTTAGCTGACAGAGGGTCAAAGTTCATCCAAACTGGGCAGAACTCACAAAACGCACACACATCATCATCATCTGGCGTCATCATAGCGGCCACCACAGTGGACAGCTATTCAAAGGCTGTTGTTGTATCCGTGTCAGTGTTGATGGTGTACCTGCACATAAACCACTACGTTGGACACTGATGTGTCCCTCCATACCTGCCACCTGCTGGTCATTTAATGTTACTACAGATGTTTGACGTGTTTCTTTGTAATTATTGTTATTTAACCTTGTCACGGATGAATTATGACAACCTCAGTCAGAATTTAATTCATGCGTGACAGGGTTAAAGCAGGACACAGAGTACGTCTGTGATCTGTGTTCCTAATCCATCGGCCATTGTTCAGCTCGGCAGCTCTGGGTACTTTGAGCTGCGACCGCTAACTGTTAGCTGAGGCCCCGCCCACTGGCCTCGCCTGCACACCTGCGGCTTGTGAGGATGAGGAATCCCAGGCACAGTCGGGGCTTTCACTGTCGTTTCGCTTGCTGTAAAGCTGTCGTCTTCTTCCTGTTTGTGTTTCAGGGTTTCTGCTCGTGGCTGACGGCCATCTTCAGAATAAAGTGAGTATGAGGAAACAGCTTCTCGCTTTCACGGTCAGACCGAAAGCTCCACTGTCCCATCGTTACCACAGACTGTGAACTCATCACAGACGCTCAGATTTCCCAGTGTAAGAACAGACCGTGACTCCTCCTGTTTCTGCCGCAGAGACGAGGAGATTCGTGAGAAGTGTGGCGAAGACGCCGTTTACTACTTGTCCTTCCAGCGTCACATCATCGGCCTTCTGGTCGTGGTCGGCGTCCTCTCGGTCGGCATCGTCCTGCCCGTGAACTTCTCTGGAGACCTTCTGGGTAAGAGCAACTCGGTCTGAGGGTCTCGGGTCTCGATGTGTCACTCACCGCCTTCTCGCCTTCTGTCTGAATGTTTTAGTCCGAATTATCAGTAAAGATGCTTTCCTCAGCCGAGGAACACCTGGACCACCCTCCAAAGAAGGTAAAGTGGGTGGGGTCAGAGGCGTAGGCGCCCTGCGCCCTGTAGACTGTGGCTAATGGTAGACTCGGTCCCATCTGGTCTGTAGTACGAGTGCCGTGTTAGAAACGTGCTGTGGTTTTGTCATAGTGACAGGCGGTAGGTAAGGAGGTGAAAGCGGCTATGATGACTTCCTGTGCTGACCCAGGGGCGGGGTGTCAACAATAAAAGCTCTTCCTGTCAGACGCACATGGAGGGCGTCCGCTCGGCGAAATGGCCTTCGAGGATTCAGAAACACCCGTGGACGAAGCTTTAAAGAAGTCACGCTGAGTCGGGCATATGAAACCATCAATAAACACGTCGCTCAGTGACTCAGACGCTGCGTTTTATTTCTGTCTTTGCAACACAACGACATTTAAGCCAATAAAGCTCCACTTCAAGCTTTCCCACTATAAACACCGTGACTACTGGAAGTCCACCAGCACACATCTGGTGATGCAATGGCTGATGTTAGGAAAAGCACTCGTGCACACTCGGGCTTCATGTGACCTTTGCTTTCTTCCAGAAAACAACGCCTACAGCTTCGGACGCACGACGATAGCCAACCTGAAGTCTGGGTGAGATTTCATATCTTCTTCTTTGCTTTGTTAATCACGGCGTTGTTTCCTGCAGATGTTTCAGAGTAAAAGCTTGTGAACCTTCCTGTTGAGAGGTGTAATCTGGGGGTTTGCTACATTGCAGGACGAACCTGCTCTGGCTGCACACCACGTTTGCCTTCATGTATCTGCTGCTGACCGTCTACAGCATGAGGAGGCACACGTCTAAGATGCACTACAAGGAGGACGACCTGGTAGGAAGTCCGTGAACTCTGAGGACGCGGCATTTGTGCGCTTAGCCGTGCGGTAATCCCAGTTTTGTGTCTTGCAGGTGAAACGCACTCTGTTCATCAACGGCATCTCCAAGTATGCCGAGGAGAGTCAGATCAAACAGCACTTTGAGTAAGTTCCACGCTCTCCTGTCAGTGACTGCACGGAGCTGTTCTCCTGCTCCGAGTTTGTGATGATGAGTGTAACCCCCATGAGTCTGCCCTGAACACTCAGCTTATCACAGTTTCATTCAGAAGGGATGTCCCTAATATGGTCATCTGGGGCACATGGCCAGTCAGATGAAAGTGAAAGGGGGCAGGGCTAAAGCAGCTTGTTTCAGACACTGCACGAGGCCCAGCATCAGATAAAGAAGGATGATTATGAGCTGTGAGTCCTGCAGCGCTGCTGTGGGAGGGTGCAGGAATCGAACGCTTGTTCTGATGGTGGTGTGCCTCCTCTGTGTCCTGCAGGCAGGCGTACGAGAACTGCACGGTGCTCGAGGCTCGGATCTGCTATAACGTGGCCAAACTGATGGCTCTGAACGCTGAAAGGTGAGGCCCAGTGCATGCTGGGAGTAAAATCTCACACACCCACACAGTAATCATTCATATGCATGAAAATGTGAGACTCTGAACGCATCACGTTTATAAGTAGAAATGCATCGATCAGCTGGTTTTGACCCCTGAGCTGTGTGAACATCTCCAAGCTCTTCACAAGCATTCTGTCTTTTCCACCTTGCAGTAATCTAAATACAGATTACTGCTGTCATGTTCAGCTCCGCTCCAGAAGCCTTGTTTCTGACTCCACATCGACCAGTTGGACCCGATAAATCTCCAGCAGTCAAATCATTTCAATTCAATTTTATTTATAGAGCACCAACATGCTTTATATTGTAAGGGAGACCCTACAATAATAGATACAGAGAAAAACCCAACAATCATATGACCCCCTATGAGCAAGCACTTTGGCAACAGTGGGAAGGAAAAACTCCCTTTTAACAGGAAGAAACCTCCGGCAGAACCAGGCTCAGGGAGGGGCGGGGCCATCTGCTGTGATTGGTTGGGGTGAGAGAAGGAAGACAGGATAAAGACATGCTGTGGAAGAGAGACAGAGATCAGAAAAATAAAATACTGTAAATAGGAGCTTTTTTCTTTTAAGTTTTCCAAGAAAATTTTTTGCTGCTCTAAACTGATTCAAGCAGACCTTTGACCTTTTGCACAACCAATCACAGGTGTTTACATGAAGACTGATGATTTGATCTGTGCTGCAGAGCCACAGCCAATGAAAAACAAATTGCAGACTTTAGTTGAATCATTGCTGACAACTTTAACCCAGGTTTGTTTTTATTCACATTGCTTGTTGTCGCTACACAGCTTTTTTTCTTTTTTTTTCTTTTAGCAGGTTTATCCAGACCTGTTTGTCTTCTGATTAACTAAACTGCTCCTTATGTGAAATTCAAGTCTGGTCAGCTAGCATGGCCTACGTTACCTTCAGCTGCCCCGGCTACAGGAGCCTGGCTAACTACGGGTTTTTATGAGGGTGTGAAGCCCAGTCTCCAATTCAGTGATCCTGGCCTCCAGAGCTGCAAACAAGCTACATTCATTCCAAATATCGTTATTGCTAAAGTGCGCCGAGGAGTAAGCATATGACACGAGCAGGAAAGTGCTCCACGTCGTCACCTGATGACTTCATTCGTGTTTTGCAGGAAGAAGACGGAGCGCAGCAAGAAGTTTTTTACCGACCTGATGGCTAAAGAACACGTTCCCACCATGATCAACCCCAAGCCCTGTGGACACCTCTGCTGTTGCGCCATCGCTGGCTGTGAGGAGGTAAAAACAAAGACATCGCCCCCATGGCAGAACCGTGCGCGGTCACATCAGCAGCTGCTAACTACCTAGCTGGGCTCATTATACAGCGACGTTTCTGCACATTCCCTTCAGTTCATCAACTGCGCAATGATTTTGTCCTGCGTCGCGTGTCTCTGCGTTATGTTGTGGTGTTTCCGTTGTTAAAATGCCGCCAATACAGAAAATGGCGAGCTGGTACTCAGAATGATGAGTCCAGGAGCAGCACGCTGGACTTCAGGGTTACTTCACCTGTCCTGCAAGTCGTCATGACATCGCCAAGCTTTACCCACATAATTCAAATGCTAACGTGCTAATGTTAGCATGTCAGGTGGCAGTTTGTTGATGCTTTTCTGTGGTCTGCAGGAGGAGGCGGTCAGCTACTACACCAAGAGGGAGGCCAAACTCAAGGAGGAGTACAGGAAGGAGAAGGAAAAGGTCCACACCAAGCCTCTGGGCATGGCCTTTGTCACCTTCCAGAATGAGGCCATGACTGCCATGTAAGCCACTCGCTTCACTTCCTCTTTATCTGTCTCAGACTCCTCCCCCTATTTTTCTCCTCAGAAACTTCTCATTTGGCGATCGTTAAATATTTTATGGTTTTTATAGTTTTCTCTAACGAAATGTCCCACCTGCCTCCACCTCACGTTAGCCACACCCCTCACATTCGAATCCTTGTCATGTCTTCGACCTCACCTCTGCTCACGGCTCTTCTTTTCTCAGCATTTTGAAGGACTTTAACGCCTGTCAGGTTCAGGGGTGTCGATGTCGTCAGGAGCCACGTTCCTCTCAGTTCAGCGAGGTTCTTCACGTTCATAACTGGAGTGTTTCGTACGCACCCGACCCACAGAATGTCCGCTGGTATGTCCGCACGCTCCGCCCACCTGAAACTTTGGACAAATAAATGCGCCCTTTGAGATCAGCTGACTCTGTGTTCCTTCCTGTAGGGAACACCTTTCACTGGGCGGGATCTCCTGGTGGATCCGTTGTTTTGTCATCAACTGCATCCTCTTCATTCTGCTCTTCTTCCTCACCACGCCCGCAATCATCATTTCCACCATGGACAAGTTCAACGTCACCAAGCCCGTCGAGTATCTGAATGTAAGAAGCGTGAAGCAGGTGTATAGTCCGGCTTCAGGCCGATTCCTTCAGCTCTGACTCTGTGCTCTCTGTCTGTTGGGTGCTTGGATCAATGCTTGTTGGTGAATGGTTTGGGTTGATTGGGTGGATGTTTGGTCGGATGAATTGTTTTTCTTGGTTTCTTGAACAGAACCCCATCGTCACTCAGTTCTTCCCCACCCTGCTGCTCTGGGCTTTCTCTGCTCTGCTGCCAACCATCGTCTACTACTCTGCTTTCTTCGAGGCTCACTGGACCAGGTACAGCTGCTTCCACTGCTGCTCTTCATCACTTTGTTATTTGTGAGAGTAGCACACACCGTGAAACTAGAAATAAATAAGTCGAAGGTCCCATTTAAAGTCATTTCCTGTAGAGTCCCAGTGATGATTAAAGTCGAGTGACGCTTGTATCTGACCTCAGTGTTTGCCATGTTTTGTTTTTTATCCCCTGCGTTATTGGGCACGCTTCATCCCATTTTTCTTTTCTTTTCTTTTTTTTTTTTGTCCCCGTTTACCCACGCTTTGTCCCCGTTTACCCACGCTTTGTCCCCGTTTGCCCACGCTTTGTCCCCGTTTGCCCACGCTTTGTCCCCGTTTGCCCACGCTTTGTCCCCGTTTGCCCACGCTTTGTCCCCGTTTGCCCACGCTTTGTCCCCGTTTGCCCGTGGTTTGCTCCTGGTTCCGTCCATCTCACAGTTTCTGTTTCACCTGTCGGTGTGTGCAGGTCTGGAGAAAACAGGACAACCATGCATAAGTGTTACACCTTCCTGATCTTCATGGTTCTGTTGTTGCCATCTCTCGGCCTCAGCAGGTAACAGATCTTGTGGCTCTAAAGAGTGTGAAACCTGACTGACCTTTGACCTCTACTAAAGCGTTTCTGTCTGTGCTTTCCAGTCTGGACGTTTTCTTCCGCTGGCTCTTTGACAGGAAGTTCCTGGCTGATGCTAAAGTCCGATTTGAGTGAGTTATGTTTTGTTTCCAGCCTACAGTTTGACGGTTGTTACCGCTCACTGAAAACCACTGTGTTTCTGCAGGTGCGTCTTTCTGCCAGATAACGGCGCCTTCTTCGTCAACTACGTTATCGCCTCCGCATTCATCGGAAATGCCATGGACCTGCTGAGGATCCCCGGCCTGCTCATGTACATGATCCGGCTGTGCCTGGCTCGCTCTGCTGCCGACCGCCGCAACGTCAAGAGGGTGAGGACACACTCACTGAGAAGTTTATGGTGGTGCGGTAAAGCTTTCAGCCCACAGGGGGCGCTGCTCTGACTGTAACCCTGTCTGTCGTCCCTACAGCATCAGGCCTACGAGTTTCAGTTCGGAGCAGCGTATGCCTGGATGATGAACGTCTTCACAGTGGTGATGGCCTACAGCATCACCTGCCCCATCATCGTGCCCTTCGGTCAGTCCAGCACTGCAGTAACTGTTAGTCAGTACATGTTTAGAGTAACAGTACAGGTGTTGAAGTAGTAGTAGTACTAGCATCCAGGTGAAGTCATACAAGTCAGTGTAAAGTGTGACGGTGGCTGAAAATAGTCTAATTCCTGTTCCCGTAAAGTCTCAAGTCAGAATAAAAGCAGGTCCAGCATGACGTCAGGGGTATTCAGCTCACCTGTTCACCCGCAGGTCTGATGTACATGCTGCTGAAACACTTGGTGGACCGATACAACATGTACTACGCTTACCTGCCCTCCAAACTGGACAAGAAGATCCACTCTGGAGCCGTCACCCAAGTGGTGGCAGCACCCATCCTCTGCCTTTTCTGGCTGCTGTTCTTCTCCACTGTACGCACAGGTAAGCCCCGCCCACCACAGCTGTGTCAGACCTTCCTTGCCGTGCCGCCTAGGACGGCCGCTTAGACCGTTTGATGAGTCCAATAAAGTAATGCGAGTGGTGCAGGTAGCTGTTCTGCAGAGACGCCCTTCATGACTGCAGGATATTTCTGAAAGAAGCTGCAGAGCTCAGTAGCATCCCTGAGTGTCTGGGACACTACGAGTCTCCCGACCCTCTGAATCCCTGAATTTCTCTTTTATGTAGTTAATTGTAGTTTTCATTATTAGTGGATCAATGAGAAGGTTGAACAGTTCTGGTCATTTGTCACTGATAACAAGTGCTGACAGTGAAAGGCAGTTTCTGACATGTTGCTTTTTTTGGGGGGGTGGGGGGGTAGACTATAACAAGACAATACCAAGACCAGTGGGTATCGAGACCAAGACGAAGTCAAGACGAGACCGAGACAAAAAAGTCTTTAAACTGCAGCCAGATGCTGCTTCGTGTACAGGTCTCGGGCACATTTATGTGTTTTTGCGATGCACAGCCCTCCTCACCACCGTCCACTGTCTCACTCACTGAGAGGACAGACGCACGCTCCACGTGACCGTCACGTCCATCACCCTCTCTGTTTTTCACATAATGATATTATCCTATATCCTCGCATGTGATTGGCCACAATATGGAGGGAAATTAATTGAGTTGCCGGCTCTCGCTCAATGGGAGTCGACTCTTCTGATTCACTGCAAAGCGCTCTCGTTGTGTGTCATGGATACTGTTGACTCCAAATCTCCGACCACTATGTCGATCTGAGACAACAAGAGGGAGACAGCGGGAGCAAGACCAAAGTCTGTCGAGGTCGAGACCAAGTAAAACTCTGGCGGGGGGGGATTTTTTAAATGTTTCTATCGTTTTGGGGGGGTCTGACAGTCCTGCCAGTGGGTACTGGCTATTATCACCCTGATGACAAGATGTCGTCTCCGTGGATGGCGTTCGATAGCATCGCCGAGTAAATGTGGTTAACCATACTTGTCCTCACACTGATTGCCCGGTGTTTTCAGAGGACATTTGTGGGTCATGGTTCAACCTCACTCTCACCTGGTCGGATACAAATAGGCGATAAATCCGGGGTAACGTGAGGCAGTTTTCTGAGGTGACTCCTTTAGTGAAGTTAACCACACCCTCGGTGAAAGGATGAGCTGTTTTAAATCCAGCAGAACTAAAAAAATGATGTGTTAGTATTCGCGACAGGAAGTTGTTATTTGCTGACCATAGCTAACTGCTAATGTGCTCTCAGGCTTCGACACGCCGACCTCCATGTTCACGCTCGTGGTGCTGATCGTCACCATTGTGGTCTGTCTGTCTCACGTCTGCTTCGGACACTTCAAGTACCTCAGCGCTCACAACTACAAGGTACGACAGCAGTGCGATGAAGGTTAGTGTGCAGTGTGTGAACGCCAGCGTCTTATTCCGAGCATCTCCATTTCAGATTGACACAAAGGAGAACGACGTGGACGCTGTCGAGAACGGACGTCCAGCTCGTCCCTCGTCCTCACCCACCACCAAATCTCAGGTGACGCATGTTGTCTTTATTGGGATTGCAACAAACCACTCCCCCAGGTTTTCATCAAACGGGTCTCAGTACCGCCGGAGATCGGGGCCGCTGAGGCCTTCGGTTAGTCCGCCTTAGACACACTCACAGCTGTTTGAGTCTGTGGGCCCAGAAAGGCAGGCAGACTCACCAAAGCAAACCAAAACTGAGACAAACTAGGAGATGGTGTGAGATTTTATCAGAATGCCTTTCCTGGACTGATCCTCCCGTACAGCTCATAAAACACTGAAAGGTTCAAAAAGCACCAAGCTCAAATTCAAAGATCTGCTCTTACCTTATTTAACTTGTCTCTCAATCACTGCACTGAAGGGAGAACAGATTTGTAGTTCTTGATTTTATCCATAAGCTAATAAATCATTCTTTCTAGTTCTCTAGAAAACCTTGGACCTAAGTTACCGATGGTTCCCTACTTGTTGAGATACACAAGTTTTATGAATCACAACTAGCAAACAACACTCCAAAAGTTGATTCTGTTCATCTGGACGTTTTCAGTGGGAGAAACGTTTCATCATCATCCAGGTGACTTCTTCAGTCTCAGGTTTCCAATCTTATAAACAGGACATTTGCATAATGACTGAAACCAGCCCACTGAGGAACAATGGGCTGGGAGGTCAGCTCCTTAATCTTAATTATGCAAATTCTCATGACCATTGATCAGCAACCACTGATCAATGGCCATGAGTCCCATTCACAGAGAGTTGGGGAATGGCTGCAATCACAGCATTGTAAGATGGTGACAGATGTACCCTTAGGCCCCTCCTTGATTCAGAGATGGTCTTTCCCTCCTTGACTCCGCCCTCAAACCAGCGTTCCTCCCTGTCCAGGATGTTACATCCTCATCATTGAAAGAGTGTCCACTGGCCTGTAGGTGTAGATAGTCTGCAGAGTCCTGGCCTGACGAGGTGGCTCTTCTGTGTTGTAGCCAGAGGTTGTTTGGTTTCCCCGACGTATAAATCCTGGCACTCCTCCTGCACACTCCTCCTGCACTTACCAGCGTACACTATGTTACTCTGTTTGTGTCGGGGACCCGATCCTTGGGGTGGACCAGTTTTTGGCGCAGCGTGTTTTGGGGTTTAAAAGCCACAGAGACCCGGTGTTTAGAAAAAATGCGTCTCAGCTGCTCCGATACTCCTGACACGTACGGGATCACTACAGGTTTTCACTTATGCAGCGGTTGTCCTTCTCTCCTGGATCGGCTGGAGGTTTCTTTAGGCGCCTTCCCAGCTTTGACAAAAGTCCAGCTGGGATAACCACATTTACTCAGGGCCTTTTTGATGTTCTTCTGCCTCCCTGGCTGCTGTGTCAGTGGGGATGGTGTTCGCTCTGTGTTGTAGTGTCCTGATGACTCCCAGTTTGTGCTCCGGTAGATGATGAGAGTCAAACCTTAAATACTGATCCGTATGTGTAGGTTTACGGTACACGTCAGCTTTTAGATGTCCTCCATTACTGATGGAAATCTCACAGTCTAAGAAGGCTAAGCTGCCATTCCCCAACTCTCTGTGAATGGTACCCATGGTCTTTGATCAGTGGTTGTTGAGAATCAACAATCAATCAGAATTGAGTTTTGGAGATTTACTCACCTGGATGATTGAGCATGCATCAAGAAGATAGCAAACAACACGTTTTTATAGAAATCGGATCACGTCACAGTTCTCTTTGTGGTCATGTCTCTTCCTGGTGGTTGACCTGTTTTTATGTTCCTTCCAGCAACAGCAGCAGATGTACATCGCCCAGGTCCTCCAGGACCCCAACTCGGACGAGCCTGGCGGAGGGAGCAGCGAGGAGGACCGAGGGTCATCGCAGGATGAGGAGATGCTGAATGGAGGGAACAGCATCAATGAGGCGGATTTCCAGTCGGGGGAGGACAGTCTGATCGCCAACGAAGTGCACCAGTAGCTGGGGGTGGTGCTAGAGGAAGGGGGCGGAGCTAGTAGAGGGTCATACCCACACAACAGTTACAGATAAAGCTGACTGGAAAATCACTACACCCATAAACACTTGTACAGTAGATTCACGGTTAGCTCCACCCCCTCTTGGCCTGAAGACTTGACCCTGACCTTTGATGCCGGCGCCGGGTCGCCAACATCCAGTCCTGCACGCCTGTGGATCCTTAATGGACATCAGACTGTGTCCACAGGAAATCACTGTATATAACCACAAAGCCAAAAGTTCTTTTTCTTGGGTTGGGTGGGTGGGTTTTAAAAACTTGTGCCTGGGCTGGATTCTTTGTTCGCACTCGTGTCTTGATTTCTGATCCCACTACGGGTCACCTGAACCCGACCCCTCCAGGGGTCCAAGCTGATGCTGACGCTGTCTTTTTTTCTCCGCATAGTGAGCGCCTGTTGCGTCATCACCGTACTCCAGAATCAGAGCGTTAAACAACTCGCCAACCGCCAGTTCTCATAGTGTTAGAAACCTCGCTTACGCAGACGCATTGTCATCCCTCTTCTCTGCTGGCCCGTCCTCGCCTCCGTTCTGTGGCTCTGAATGCCAGTACATTCAGCGAATCACCTTGGAGTGTGGGGCTTTTGTTTTTTTAGTTTTTGTACCTGCATGCTGTTAGGAGTGCAGGATTAGGATTAAACTGTCGCACCTTTGGACGATGTCATTCATTGCCGGATTGTACTGGCGAGCGAACACATTAAGCTTCCTCTCGCCTGCTGGCTTCAGTTGGACCACTCCTCGCCGTCGGACTACAACTCTCCATGCAACAACGCTTTCTTTTCTGGTTTGAGTTCACCTGAACTACCTTAAATCATGAACACCTGACAAAGGGAACAGGGATGTTTGTGTCTGTGTAGGTTTAGCAATCTGAACTCTTTTCAGAGGTGGGATGAACTTTGTGATGACTTTCAGCAGCAGGTAGTTCGACTTCGGGTAGATGAAGAAGAAGAGCAGCGCTTTTCGTCGGGATGTTTTTACCTGAACACCTGAAGTTGGAGGTACTGAAGGTGTGTGCTGTCCGTCTGTCTGTGTTAGCTCCTTATAAACAGACTACATCACAAAGGGTTCACCAGGCGTTGATGAAAATGCCATCCATCTACTGTAGAATCAGTTCAGCATTTTTTTTCTTTCACTTTCGTACAAAAGTTTAGAAATATATAATCATGCCGTTTCGGTCTCTACGCGCATCAATAAAGTTTTAGATAGAGTCCGACTGGTGCGAATCGATGGTTTCATCTCTGCCGCGGTACGACGAGCTCCTTCCATCCAATAATGAGCCACAGCTTCCTAGATGTGCCGCTGGTCCCTCAAACAAATAATCACTGTTTATTTCATGCTAATGATCATATTATGACTGTTTTTAGCTAATTAGCTGGGTTTATCTGACTGAAGCTAACCCTCGGCTAGCTAGAGCAAGCGACTAATAATCAGGATGTTTCAGTCCATGAAAAAAGATACTGACCCTTTGTCCTGTTAGCTCTTGTCTTTAAAGCTAATAACTTAGTTTGTCGTCCCGATAGTGCAGTGTTAGCCTAGCTCTGGCTCCAGTTAATAAAACTCACCTGATTAGCTCGTTAGTAGGGATGAAGCTGTGTAAAGTTGAACTTACTCCTAGCTTCTCGTTCACACCGACGGCTGGTTTAGAACCAGGACAGAACTGCTGAGTCATTGTTAGCTTCAAGCACACAACTCAGACACATAGGAATGATGCACTGTTAATTGTTAGCATGCAGGCTAACACAGCGCTAGCCTGCTAGCCCGGGGTTCGCATTCTGTTAAATGAAGACTAAATGGTCTGAAACCGCACAACAATGAAGAGGTGATGGTTTAGTTAAGCTAGCACTTTCCCCTGTTTTGCATGTGATGCTAGCAGGGCCACGCCACAGGGACGCAGCGGTGAAACCAGTGGTCTGGTTAACCAGTCGTCTGGTTAACCAGTTGATTTACACCTGATTGTGTCTTCGGCTGTCAGAGGTGAGCAGGCTCGTAGCTCACGCTCCATGTGGTCGTGGTGCCGATCTGCCTCCCGTTGGAGGGATGTAGAAAACATCAAGTTGCAACTGACTTGGCTGGTGGTGACATCATCACAAAGACAGGTCAAGGGGTGTGGCTTCTGCAGAGTAACATAAGTGCTTAGCGACAGAATGGGGAGGAGCTAGTCTCAGGTGTGTTTTGTTTTGTTCCTTTTTTCTCTAAAACAATGTTTACATCAGATTTTGTTTGCTGTGTGTGTGTGTGTGTGTGTGTGTGTGTGTGTGTGTGTGTGTGTGTGTGTGTGTGTGTGTGGGGAGACACGGAGCTGGACTATGAAAGCTGCAGCCGCTGGCTCGCTGGCATTGGCGGGCGGCTGCATGCTGGAGCTCTGCAGCGTTCGTGTCCGGGTGTCGTGTTCTGTTTGATGTTCCCCGCCGCTCCGCCCATGATTGTACGCAGATGAACCTGAAGGTGGAGTCGAGCCTGATCCTCAAGGTTCAGCTCGGCAGCTCGCAGGTGATGACCTGCTTCCTGTTCCTGTCTGTGTAAGGGCACCGGCATAGAATCATTTTCAGAAAGAGAGGCTGAAGTTCGACCGGAGCCGCACAGACCCGGCAGAACCAAATGCGAGCTCGGGGGCTTCAGCGGTCACGGCCTGCGGGAGCCCTGGGACTGTTTGTGTGGAAAAATGGGACTCGAAGGTTTCTGGAAGCGAGCCGCTGCTTCGTGCTGTTTGGTTTGTTTGTTTTTTCTTTTTTTAAAAATAAAATTCCTGAAATGTGAAGAAGAAAAATGTGAAGCGAGGCGTGAAGCAAGCGACAAACTGTGTAAAAACGTGTGTAAATAGCCATCGAACTGCAGTCTGTCGTCCACGTCCTGCTTTAATTTATTGCTGTGACTCTTATTTATTTGGACTTTGGTTTGTGTACAGTGACACCTTCGTCTTATTTATGTTCCTGATCAATAAAACTGATTTCATCCGTGCTCTCGTGCTCTCTGTTTGTCACACCTAAACATGGATCTGCCCTGAGGCAGGAGAAGTGAGCGCATGGCAGGTATGAAGTGAGCGCGCCACATAAACACTTTTAGGGTTAACTGAAACTCTGAGTCAGTTACCATGGTAACAGACGGTGGACGTCAGCTTTTGTCTCTGGAGCTGTGTCCCAAAACGTCAGCTGAATCCTTCGGAGGCTGCATTTGAAGGCCGATTACGTCACAGCCAGGCGACGAAGGCTGTCCCAATTCATCAACTCCTTCAAATGTGGCCGACAAATGCGTCCTTCATTTCCCCGAATTAGAAGGATGGGTCGGGTGTGTCCTTCGTGGTCCACCATATCCCAGGATTCATAGCGCGGCCCAGCCAATTCCAGTTTCCAACAATGGCGGCCGCTACTAAGTTTTTAATACTACTCTTATTAATCTTTCTGGGTCACAAAATAAACTTTGAACATATTTTCAGGCGAGAAAGTAGCTGTGCAAACATCAAATATCTGCTCAATTTATCAAGACATCACATATTTGCAAAAGTGCGCCGACATTTTCGAAGACGTCTGTTAGACCACCCGCTCAATAGTTGACCGGGGGTTTCAATGGTCACTCAACCCGGCGAGAGCAGCGGACACCCGGCTTCATCCTTTTCAGACCCCCGCTGTCTTTCGCTACTCAGCTTAAACATGATATACAGTGGGGCAAAAAAGTATTTAGTCAGCCACCGATTGTGCAAGTTCCCCCACCTAAAATGATGACAGAGGTCAGTAATTTGCACCAGAGGTACACTTCAACTGTGAGAGACAGAATGTGAAAAAAAAATCCATGAATCCACATGGTAGGATTTGTAAAGAATTTATTGGTAAATCAGGGTGGAAAATAAGTATTTGGTCACCTCAAACAAGGAAAATCTCTGGCTCTCACAGACCTGTAACGTCTTCTGTAAGATGCTTTTCTGTCCCCCACTCGTTACCTGTATGAATGGCACCTGTTTGAACTCATCATCTGTATAAAAGACACCTGTCCACAGCCTCAAACAGTCAGACTCCAAACTCCGCCATGGCCGAGACCAAAGAGCTTTCGAAGGACACCAGGAAAAGTATTGTAGACCTGCACCAGACTGGGAAGAGTGAATCTACAATAGGCAAGCAGCTTGGTGTGAAAAAATCAACTGTGGGAGCAATCATCAGAAAATGGAAGACATACAAGACCACTGATAATCTCCCTCGATCTGGGGCTCCACGCAAGATCTCATCCCGTGGGGTCAAAATGATCATGAGAACGGTGAGCAAAGATCCCAGAACCACACGGGGGGACCTGGTGAATGACCTGCAGAGAGCTGGGACCAAAGTAACAAAGGTCACCATCAGTAACACACTACAACGGCAGGGAATCAAATCCCGCAGTGCCAGACGTGTTCCGCTGCTGAAGCCAGTGCATGTCCAGGCCCGTCTGAAGTTTGCCAGAGAGCACATGGATGATACAGCAGAGGATTGGGAGAATGTCATGTGGTCAGATGAAACCAAAGTAGAACTTTTTGCTATAAACTCAACTCGTCGTGTTTGGAGGAAGAAGAATACTGAGTTGCATCCCAAGAACACCATACCTACTGTGAAGCATGGGGGTGGAAACATCATGCTATGGGGCTGTTTTTCTGCCAAGGGGACAGGACGACTGATCCGTGTTAAGGACAGAATGAATGGGGCCATGTATCGTGAGATTTTGAGCCAAAACCTCCTTCCATCAGTGAGAACTTTGAAGATGAAACGAGGCTGGGTCTTCCAACATGACAATGATCCAAAACACACCGCCCGGGCAACAAAGGAGTGGCTCCGTAAGAAGCATTTGAAAGTCCTGGAGTGGCCTAGCCAGTCTCCAGACCTCAACCCCATAGAAAATCTGTGGCGGGAGTTGAAAGTCCGTGTTGCTCGGCGACAGCCCCAAAACATCACTGCTCTCGAGAAGATCTGCATGGAGGAATGGGCCAAAATACCAGCTACTGTGTGTGCAAACCTGGTAAAGACCTATAGTAAACGTTTGACCTCTGTTATTGCCAACAAAGGTTATGTTACAAAGTATTGAGTTGTATTTTTGTTATTGACCAAATACTTATTTTCCACCCTGATTTACCAATAAATTCTTTACAAATCCTACCATGTGGATTCATGGATTTTTTTTCACATTCTGTCTCTCACAGTTGAAGTGTACCTCTGGTGCAAATTACTGACCTCTGTCATCATTTTAGGTGGGGGAACTTGCACAATCGGTGGCTGACTAAATACTTTTTTGCCCCACTGTATGAGTCATTCAGATAACTTAAAAATTTTATTGTTGGGCTTTTTTCTGTGTTTTATTTGTTCGTGAGTAAATCGGTTTGGCTGAGATTAAAGTTATTACCTTAGATTAGATTAAATAAAACCTTATTAATCCCACGGGTGGTTTTCACAATAACGTTGAACAGAAAACTGATTAAGCAGAAGTGTGAGACGGTCGAGAGTTTACTCCAGTGTCCTGTTATTTTTTTAGACAGCAAGGAGCAGACGGTCGAGTTTATTAAACTCCACCGAGACAGCGGTGACGCTACTCTGAAGGCTGGACCATCCCATTTCACAGCCTCGCACTTCTGACCTTCTTGGTCTTCGAAGGACCCGGCCCACATAGACCACGAAGGCCGGGTCCTCTGGAGGATGTGGCCGACGTTTTGGGACAAAGACTCCTCCCCTCCTGCTGCACCTGAACCGGCTGAGTGACCGTCATGGATCGAGCTCTATCTGCTGATTCCAGTCTGTTGTTATTTTAATCACATTCATGTTTACAGCTGTTTGCAGATGTTGGACTTTGAAATCGGAGCCGCCTAAACGTTAAATATGAAGTTTAGATTTTACTCCATCTGCCTCCACCTCCAAACCTTCAGTTTCACTCCTGCTGCTCTCCTGTCACACTCGTCTCCACCCTGCCTCACCTCTCTGTGGATGACGTCTTCTACAGCTGAGGGGTAAAAGCTATAATACCCGTGGTGAGCATGCTCAGATATGACTGGCCCGACTTGATCGGCCAATCGGGCGTGAGAAGATCTGAGCTGAATTCAGTTGTTTCACAGGTGGAGGTGTGAGTGAGCGTTAATCACCTGCCGATGGTTGGTTGTGTAGGCCTCCACCTCAGAGGTGGAATAAACTGCCATTTCCACTCCAAAGAGTCACATGACAGTCGAGTCAACGACTCTCAGGACCGCCTCAACGGTCACGACCTCACTAAGTGTCACGTACCAGGGACTCCCCCTGAGTTGTGTGCAAGGTGAAGCATCTGGGCCTCCCTCCACCCACAGGCAGGAGGAGGACGTGGCAATGTTAGATAAAGGTGGCCTCAGGTGTGACAGCTCAAGTTCTAAGTGCCCGGCGTGGTCATGTGACCACTTTCACAGCTTTTGACTCAGGCATGGCAGAGGAGGAGGAGCTGTTCAAAAAGCATGCTCCCTCCATGTTTGCATGTTCGTGCTGTGACCCCTTTTATACAGTTTATACGTAGTTCAGGACCGCAGCTTTAGCAGGTTCAGCTCCGTGATCACAGGGTTCCCTCACAGCGCTGCAGTTCACACGCTGCTGTGCGTCACGCTCTGTCTCATTACACGTTTCAGGATCACGCACCTGTGTCAGGGCGGAGCCAAAGGTCAGCCGTGATTCCCAGACAGATAAAGGGTTAATAAACGATTACTATTCATATTGGGCTGCTAGTGCTGGCAGCGGCCTGCGCTGAGATTTAGCTGAACTCCGGCTGATTCTGACCAATCACATCAGTCCGTTTCACTCCGAGCCACACCTGAGCAGCACGTCACGGTTCAGCGGGTGTTGAGGGCAGCCCGTGGCTGGCGGTCACTAGGGGGTGCTGTGGAGCTGTGCTGATATCACACGTATGCTTGACAAACCGTCCGGTGTGCAATTTGTGGAGCACATTAAACTCCAAGGGAACGGATGTGTGCAGCTTCCGTGTTTCTATTAATAGATGAACAATATTAAAATAATAAATATTCCAGAGATGAAGGTGACAGTTTTGATTTTGTGACAGTGAGGTTCAAAGGTTATCCAGCTCAGGTGGGGGCAGCGGTCACTGAAACCTGGGCCTGGTTCATTTTCTCTCTGTAATCTGAGCTGGTTTCTACTATAATAAATAGAAGCAGCAGCTTTTGTATTCATACTTAATGAACGTACGGCTCAGTGCTGCTCTCACCCGTCTGTAACCATCACCTCCAACACCAGAATGTCTGTGAAGGTTCTCAGTCATCCAGGTCATCTACGTCCACTGTGAGCGACCATCTTTGAACAGAGGCGGGGCTTACGACACCAACTCTCTGCCATCTATAATCCAGTTTTGAGATCCTCCCCAGACGCCTTAACGCCCACTCACATCCTGGGCCATCTGATCTCAGGAATTCGCATGATAAGGTGGGGCCAGGTTTCACAATGAACACACCCGAAACTCTGGCTGATTGGGACCCACACCCAGTTTCACACCTTGGCTCAGGCGATTAGAGGATCATCAGGGGTCCTTTTGTCCCTCTGTGGGGGGAAACTCCCACTAGGTTTATATCTGGGACTCTCCACCATTTGACCTTAGAACTGAAGAAGCTTCTCGGATGAGAGGTGAAACGTCTTCAAGCAACTTAAAGAAGTCCAGACGCTTCTCTTTGCAAGCTCCTTTGACCAACACCGGAATACTGCGCCTCACCTGCCAAGGAGCAGCAGGTGACTCACGTGTGGAAACCTACGTGAACCAAACCATCAGGTAACCTGTGTGTGACAGAGTTTGAAGCGACGTTTAAAATTCTCTCCTGGGAGTGAAGCAAACACGTGCATAAGGCCCAAAGTGCTGCTGTTCACAGCTGTCAGCACAGACTCTGTTTGTCTCTGTGAGGCAGTAAATCGGACCCAAATGTTCCTCCGGCTTTAAAATTCCCGCCTCTGTGGTGCAGGACGTTTACACAGGCTGTTCTCGTTCATATG